GAGCAAACCTTAGCCCACAAGTAAAACTAGAAACCAGGAGGGAGCAGAGGTCATGCCGAGCTAGGCTCTTGTACCTGCTGGTCTGTGGGAGCCTGGGACGCTAAGCCACAGTGTCTAAGGCAGAGTTCGGGACAGGGGAGGGGTTGTGCCAAGCTGAGTCAGAGCATCCATTGGCAGGCATGTGATCTATGCCTGGGAACGGACCCGGTTGGGGAGCAAAGGGGACAACCCTAGCTGGGCTGAGGTTCCCACCAAGAGGCGCGTGGCCTGGAAGGGGGCTGCGTTCTGATCTGGAAACAGTTGTAGTCTCCCTTGGCACAAGTGTGGACTGGGATTGGATGCACCGAACTGGGCCGGACCCCGACTCCCCCTGGTGTTCTGGAGGACCAGGGCAGATGTGGGATGGACTAGGCAGGGTCTCAAACCCCTACTGAGCCATGTGTGAGCCATACGTGGGTATGGACAAACCATGGCTGGGCTGGAACATCCAACAGCAAGAACCAGATTGGGTTGAAGGCCAGTCAGGAAAAGCCACAGTTCCTGCTATGACAGGAGGTGGACTGAGTAGGGTTGGCTCATGGACCCACTGGTAAGCGTGAAACCTGGCATTGGGAGAGGTTCTGATGGAGGAGCCTGGGCAACTCCTCTGGCAGGACACAGACCCAGCAGGTAAACGCAAGAAACATGATAGGAAACAGCCCAGAAAAGGCCATGGAAACCTACCCACTGGCATACAGTTGGCAGACGTGGGGGCAAGACCAGGCTGAATCTGTCCACATCATCCACTGGCAAATCCAGGCACCAGTGTGGGTCGACCCAGGGTCGGTCGCAACAAAGACTAGTGCACATTATGGAATGCCGAGGTGAGGTTGCCTGTACCAGAAGGGACCGCAGCGCCCAACCAGCCTGAGAACAAGCAAGGAAGTGGGCAGAGCTGGCAGGGGAATAAGGGAGGGTTCCTTTGCTGGACAGCTACTTCCGCAGGAGAGCATGGGCTGGGATGGGGGCAGACCAGACTAGGCAGAGCTACCACACCTGTGCGCCTCATGTGGACTAGATCAGGGAAAAGCCAGGCTGGGCGGATTATTCCTACTGGTGCAAACAAAATTAAAGTGGGCGAGGTTTGTTTGGGCAGCATCAACTGGAATCTGGGAGTGGGAGAGGCCTGGGAGGGAAATAGTGGGCTCATCCCTCTTGGGTTACCACTTCCACGGGAGGACATAAAACTAAGACAGCGGCTGGGGTGGAATGGGATGTGGGACAGACTGGATTACTGCTACACTTACTGGCAAACCAGGGTAGGGGGTGGGCCTGGTTGGGGTTATTGTGGGTCGCTCCAACCTAGGCTACAGCTCCCGCTGGTTTATGTGAGGGCCAAGTATGTGCTGGGCAGAACCAGACTGGACTGCAACACCCATTGGCTCCAGTGGAAGACGGGAGTGAAAACAGAACCAACCCAGGAATTGCAACCACCAGCTGATTGGAGCGATGGACGGTGCCAGGCCCTGTACTTGTTAGCACATACAAGAAGTTTCTTTGGAGATCTTCCTAATCTAAATGCTGGACTCAGAACCATAACAAAGAAAAGAGAGAAGACAGAACGGGTCAACCAACCATCTAAGCTATGATGGACTATGTCAATCAGTGGATTTTTCAAAGACCTCATAGTGCTTGGAGCGGCAAGATTGACAGCGATTCATAACTGTTGCAATATCAAAACCACTTGAGCAAGAACCTCAGAGCATGCCCTACACCCGGGACTTGGGGAGGGTGGGAAATTGGGTGGGCCTTCTCCCTTAATACCCCCCTTTTAAACATGAAGGTAACAATATGGAAAACATATTAGTATTATCCACTTTCCTGTAGCCCTTGAACCTTCTTACCCTAATTAACTATGTAAAGAATGTCAAAATAAAATTTATTAATAAAAAAAAAAAAACTATCAAGTTGCTAGTTTTAGTGAATCTATTTAGGATTATTTTTGAGAATTTCTAGGAAGAAGATTATAGTAGAAATCTATAGCTTAAACAGCCATACAGGAAGAAAAACTAGAAATATAGGCAAGTTAATATTAAAACCAGTGTAAGACACAAAACACAAGGAGGGCTAACTACTTAACGGTTAAAACTGCAACTGGTGCCAAACTGCGTCCACAAGAAATAGCAACTACAGGCTGTCACCAGGCTGTTCGAGAACAATCTTTACTCAACACACCTGCTTACCTTCCTGGAAATGTAACCACATGTATAAACAAAGAAAAATGTTCTTTTGCAATAATCTATTGTATAGAAGCTGATGCCTTGCTTTTGCAAAATGCACTCAGATACAACTGCCTTGAGTTGTCATGTCTGTTTGTCACTCGCCGAAACCCGTCGGACTGATTGCTCCCGGCCGAGCCCGTCCGTCGCACCTGGCCGCACACAAGCACGCGGGGAGACTGGGACTGCACGGTGTGGGCAGCGCCTGCGTCATGGATGCAGGTTAGCGAGGATGACGGCGATGGAAGAAGAGACGGTGGAGCTGATGGCCACCCCACAACCTTTGCCCTCTGCCCTCCTCGCTGATTGGGAAGAGGGAGCTGTGGGGTGACGCGACAGCCCCAGACGGACGCTGCCTCGGTGCCCTAGTGGCTGTATAAGACCATCATGAGGGCCCAGCGCGATGGCGCAGTGGTTAAGGTCCTCGCCTTGCACGCTCTGGGATCCCATATGGGCGCTGGTTCTAATCCCGGCAGCTCCACTTCCCTTCCAGCTCCCTGCCTGTGGCCTGGGAAAGCAGTGGAGGACGGCCCAAAGCCTTGGGACCCTGTGCACCCTCATGGGGAGACCAGGAAGAGGCTCCTGGCTTCGGATCGGCATAGCATCGGCTGTTGCGCTCACTTGGGGAGTGACTCATCGGACGGAGGATCTTCTCCTCTGTATATCCGCCTTTCCAATAAAAATAAAATCAATCTTAAAAAAAAAAAAGACCATCATGAGCCTTTTGCTCTGTGTCGCCCTGTCCACTTGGTCCTGCTGAAACATGAGTGTGAGGAAGGGGGTACCCGGGGTTGGGGTGGGAAGAAGCAGGCTCCCCCCCCCGCCCAGTACGCACACCAAGCCTGCTCCCCGAAGGGGGCATCCACTGGGGCCCTGCTAAGGCCTCCCTGCCCCTTCCTGAGCAGATTCCCAGATGTCCAAGCACCTGCTGGACCTGCGGATGTATGTTTGGAATGGTGAGCAGAGGAGGGTGAGGGAGAGAGGGGCAGGTAGGCAGGGAGGGCCGGAGGCTGCAGGGCAGGTGAGTGGCTGCCACGCCCCCACGCTGGCCACGCCTCCACACCAGCCACATCTCATGAGGATCACGACCCCACGCCGGCCATGCCTCCACACCAGCCACATCATCCCATGACCATCACAACCCCACGTCGGCCATGCCTCCACACCAGCCACATCCCATGACCATCACGACCCCACGCCGGCCACGCCTCCACACCAGCCACATCCCATGACCATCACGACCCCACGCCGGCCACGCCTCCACACCAGCCACATCATCCCATGACCATCACAACCCCACGTCGGCCATGCCCATACCCATCAGCCACATCCCATGACCATCACGACCCCACGCCGGCCATGCCCATACCCATCAGCCACATCCCATGACCATCACGACCCCACGTCGGCCATGCCTCCACACCAGCCACATCCCATGACCATCACGACCCCACGCCGGCCACGCCTCCACACCAGCCACATCCCATGACGATCACGACCCCACGCTGGCCACGCCTCCACACCAGCCACATCCCATGAGGATCACGACCCCACGCCGGCCACGCCTCCACACCAGCCACATCCCATGACCATCACGACCCCACGTCGGCCACGCCTCCACACCAGCCACATCCCATGAGGATCACGACCCCACGCCGGCCATGCCCATACCGATCAGCCACATCCCATGACCATCACGACCCCACGTCGGCCATGCCCATACCGATCAGCCACATTCAAAGGTGACCGCACCCCTGACTCAGCCACACCCAATACTGACCACGTCCTCACGGACCAGGCGCTCAGCACCAACCTCGCCTCCATGCTGACCACAGCCCACTTTCCCTCCCGGGTCCCCCCACTTTCCCTCAGGGGTCCCCCACTTTCCCTCGGGGTCCCTCCACTTTCCCTCGGGGTCCCCCCACTTTCCCTCGGGGTCCCCTCACTTTCCCTCCGGGGTCCCTCCACTTTCCCTCAGGGGTCCCCTCAATTTCCCTCAGGGGTCCCCCACTTTCCCTCCGGAGTCCCCCCACTTTCCCTCGGGGTCCCCTCAATTTCCCTCAGGGGTCCCCTCAATTTCCCTCAGGGGTCCCCCACTTTCCCTCCGGAGTCCCCCACTTTCCCTCGGGGTCCCCTCACTTTATCTCGGGGTCCCCTCACTTTCCCTCAGGGGTCCCCCACTTTCCCTCAGGGGTCCCCCTCGAGCCAGCAGGGTCCCTCCACTTTCCCTCAGGGGTCCCCTCAATTTCCCTCAGGGGTCCCCTCACTTTCCCTCCGGGGTCCCTCCACTTTCCCTCCGGGGTCCCCCTCGAGCCAGCAGGGTCCCTCCACTTTCCCTCAGGGGTCCCCTCAATTTCCCTCAGGGGTCCCCTCAATTTCCCTCAGGGGTCCCCCACTTTCCCTCAGGGGTCCCACTCGAGCCAGCAGGGTCCCCCCACTTTCCCTCAGGGGTCCCCTCACTTTCCCTCGGGGTCCCCTCACTTTATCTCGGGGTCCCCTCAATTTCCCTCCGGGGTCCCCCTCGAGCCAGCAGGGTCCCCCCAGGAGCCAGCGGGTCCCCCCACTTACCCTCGGGGTCCCCCCACTTACCCTCGGCGTCCCCCACTTACCCTCGGCGTCCCCCACTTTCCCTCCCGGTCAGGACGCTCCCTGAGCCGGCGCAGCGCGCGCGCGCCCCCTCGCGTTCGCTTCCCGTCATCCCCTCCCGCCGCGCGCCTGCGCACTTCCGCGCCGGGCACGACGCCGTAAAGCACCTCGGCGGAACCGCCGGCCGCGGTTGCAGGTAAGAGCTGACCTCCCACCCGGGACCTTACGGGGGGCTCCCGTACCCGAACCCCGGAAAACCTGGTGCTTGAGCGCCTTGGCCTCGGTGGCCACGACCCCCGGTTCCATGCACGGCTGGGAATCGCTGGGGAGAGCGAGCCCCTCCGCCGGCCCCGGCCCGCTCCCCTCGGGGCGCTGCGTGTATGTTGGGGGGACTCGGGTCACCCCCATTTACCTGCAGCCCGGCAGAGCCTGCGTCTCCACTCCTTCCACTTGCACCTGGCCTGTTCTGGGCCTTGTCTGCGGTGGGGCTGAACCCCAGGGGTCCCCCCCACCGACCCTCCACCCTGGACGCCCACCTGGCTGGAGCCTGCGTGATCCAGCTGGGTCCTCCTCGCGCAGTGGACACACCTGTCCACCAAGCCCCCTTCCCGCTCCCCATCACCTCCGCGTCTCCCCACCCCCCGTCTAGGCCTTTAATCTTCGTTAAGCTCCTATCCCACCTCTGTCCTCTTGTCCCCGGCTGCCCTGATGGGCACTGCAGGCGCCCCTGGTGCCACCCTGGTGCCCGTCGCCCCTGGTGCCACCCCCGTCGCCCCTCGTCGCCTCAAGCGTTCTCTGACTCCCGCAGGTGACAGGCAAGGGCGCAATGAGTCTGCTTTGCTGACCTACGGTGACCTGGAACGCCGGGGTTGGGGTGCTTAGCTGGTGTGGTTAACCCCACTTTCCGGTCCCCTCTGGTCCCTCCCCACGCTGCCCGCCCAAAGTGGTGAGTCTGGCCTTCCCGCATGCAGGTTAAGGAAGAGGGGTGGGTGGCAAGGCCTTTTTCCCCTCCTCCCCGGGGACACCCTCACTGCCCGGGTTCCCCTGCTGCGTACCCCCGGGGATGGGGTGGAGGGGTGGACACCCACGCGCGCGCGCGCCTCTCCTGCGCAGGGCGATGGAGGCGCGCTTCACGCGCGGGAAGTCGGCGCTGCTGGAACGCGCCCTGACGCGGCCACGCACCGAGGTCAGCCTGAGCGCCTTCGCGCTGCTCTTCTCTGAGCTGGTACAGCATTGCCAGAGCCGCGTGTTCTCCGTGGCCGAGCTGCAGGCGCGTCTGGCCGCCCTGGGTCGCCACGTGGGCGCGCGCGTGCTGGACGCGCTGGTGGCGCGCGAGAAGGGCGCGCGGCGCGAGACCAAGGTGCTGGGCGCCCTGCTGTTCGTCAAGGGCGCCGTGTGGAAGGCGCTCTTCGGCAAGGAGGCCGACAAGCTGGAGCAGGCCAACGACGACGCACGTACCTTCTACATCATCGAACGCGAGCCCCTGATCAACACTTACATCTCCGTGCCCAAGGAGAACAGCACGCTCAACTGTGCCAGCTTCACGGCGGGCATCGTGGAGGCCGTGCTCACCCATAGCGGCTTCCCCGCCAAGGTCACGGCGCACTGGCACAAGGGCACCACACTCATGATCAAATTCGAGGAGGCCGTGATCGCCCGGGACCGGGCCCTGGAAGGCCGTTGATAAAGGATCGTACTTTACCCTCAGCTATCCCGATATGGGCAGGCGTGTCCGTGTCTTGTGTGCGTTGGGGGGAGCGTGGCCGGGATCATGGCACAGCACCCATGCGTACTTGGGAAGGAGGGGGAGGGGAGAGGGCAGCACTGGCGGGTCGGAGAGGCTGTGTGCGGGCAGGTGGGAGGACCCTGCTGAAGACAGACTTCCTCGGGGTGAGGGGACCCCACCACCTGACAGGCGCGGGGCGGGGGTGCGTAGCCGGGAGGCTGTGGCCCCCGCTTGGCTTGGGAACTGCTGTCTAATGCAGCCAGCAGGGGAGCCCTAGACCAAGACCACCCCGGAGCACCTCCTGTTCTGCAGAATCGCCTGGAGAAGTTCCCCCAGCCCCATAGCTGTGCTTGTGCCGGAGTTAGGGGTTTGCGGATAAGCTCTCCCCCACCCCACCCCACCCCCGCACAGACCAGAGATGGCTTCTTAAAGGGAACGCACTGGAGGGACCCAGGGACCCAGTTCTATGAGACAGCTGCCACCTGCCCGGCTCACTGCCCCAGATACTCAGGCTGGGAACCTGGTAGCAATTCCAGGCAGATCTTGGAGCAGGGACACTGCCCCCCCCCCAGACGGGATGTCCTCGTGCGGGCTGCAGGTGTCTCGAATGCTTGGCAAAGATACGGAAACGTGCTTTCACGCATCAGGCTGCTTGCCCACGTCTGTGCCCGCAGCCCAGTCTCTACAGGCGAGACCACGGGAGGGCCCTCCCCACAGACGGGGGCAGGGGGAACGGGAGGCGTCGCACCCGCTGTTTGGGACGTCTCTCCATCCCTCCTTTCCAGCCACTTCTAGAATTGTTGGAGCTGGTTGAGGGGCTTTCCGGGGAAACTTCTGGAAGGTTGGAGGGAAGCTGGGACTCGAAGAACTGTAGCAGCATCCCCATACCCCGCCCAAGCAGGTTGAAGTGGGTGGGGGGGGAGACTAAGTGAGACAGGCGAGCCGGGCCTCTCCCAAGGAAACAGGCAAAAGGCCACTTTAAGTTCATTTATTGAAAAGGTGCTGACATCTTCCACCTGCTGATTTGCTTCCTAAAAGCCTACAGCAGGCAGGGGTGGGACCGGGCTAGAGTCAGGATCTCATCCGGGTCTCCCACATGGGTGGGTGGGTGGGTGGGTGGGATGCAACTTCCTGCCTTTCTTCCCCCCCACCCCGGGGTGTGCACAAGAAGGGAGCTGGAGTGAGGTGTGGAGTGGGGAAGGCCTCAAAAACATTGGAGGTGGAGGGAGGGGGTGTCGTCCCTTGCAGGGCTGGGTTGTTGGGGTGGGGTTGGGTCAATCAGCTGGGACGTTGGGCTGGGCTGGGCTGGGCTGGGCTGGGCTGGGTGGAGGAGCGGGGCAGCCCTCAGAATGCCACTGTTTTTAGCGGGGCTCTGTGGCCTGGAGTGGCTGAGAGGTGGCCACGGTAGCAACGGCAGCGGTGGGCGGCCCACAGGTGGCCAGGCGCTCACACACCCAGGCGTCCAGGCGGCTGCGGCAAAAGGCGTCGTTCCAGTGCCCGGATCCCAGCATCATCACGCAGTCCTCACCCTGGCCTCCGTTATTGGGCTCCCCGGGGGACCAGTTGCTGCAAGAGCCAAGCGCATGGCAAGGGGTGGGGATGAGGGCCAGGACCAGGGGCCCCCTTCCCCCAAAGCGTAGGCACATCCTTGTGTGTGTTGGGGGCCACCCCCAGGACCCTCACGCTACAGAGAGCTCCTGAACCCCAACCAAGGTCTCCTACATCCCAGGGTACCTACCCTCCTTCCCTCCACCGGGAGCCCTGAGCGCTTCCGCCATGGGACTCGTGCAGGGAACACCTGGTACCCCGGTCTCCACGCCCCCTCACCTATAATCCAGTGGTCTCCCATCCATCCAAATGAACTCCCCCTCCCTGTCGAGATCGCGTAAGCCAATCCAGGAACCCCTCATGCTGACGCGTTGGGTCAGGAAGTCCTGGGGGGCGCGGGGGAGAGGCAGGACAGGGTGGGGCTGAAGGACCTGGGGACCCCTGTGCCCAGGCCTGCCACCCCACCCCACCCCACCCCGCCACCGGGGAGGTTTCCCAGGAGCTGGTGCGCCTGCTCCAGCCTGAGGCCACATACCTGCTCCTCCTGGCTATGGATGCTGACCAGCCGTCCCTGCAGGTGGTCGCAGGCGAACCGGGCTTGGACCCACTGCTTGGATTCCTCTCCGAAGTAATAGCACTTGTGTTGGAAGGAGATCCAGTTCTCCGGGCACGTGTTGCACGAGGAACCTGCGGAGGCACGTGGAGGGGGGCGGTGTGGGCAAGGGTGGGACGGAGTGTCCCTTCTGGGGTTCACCTCCTGAGCCCCAGCTGGCCACACACCCTGAGCCCGGAAAATGAACTCACTGCTGACGCACCCTCGCCACCACCCCACCAATCCCCTTGGTCGTCATCCCTGTCAGCGGATCCACAGTCACTGTCCCTGCCAGGAGACTTCAAAAAACTTGTGTACAGAAGCTTTTTTTAATTTATAGTTTTTCCATAATGCACCTTGTCCATGAAATTTTGGAAGTCTCCACGTGAAGTCATGGTTGGGCAACGCTTTGGTCACCAGTAACCCACGGTGTCACCAACACCCTCACCAGATTAGCACCAGGAACTCTGGCATGTTCAGGTTCAAGAACACGTCAGCCACATGTGGCCACGATCCCTCATGGGCAGGAGTGGCCGTGTGGCTGTCACCTTCACCATGGGCGCCCTGAAGTGAGCAGGACCTCGCCTGCCACGTGGTCACACAGGCGCCACACCAGCATAGCCTTTCTCACCAACACCTTCACCCCAAGGCCTTGGGTCAACCTCATGTCAACCATCATAAAACCTACACCACTGGGGATACCTCCACAGTCATCACCACAGACACCTCAGTGACAGGAAGTCACCAACACCTCCACACAGGAAGTACCTCCACCATCACCACACACCTCCATGACAGGAAGTCACCATCACCACACGCCTCCATGACAGGAAGTCACCATCACCACACGCCTCCATGACAGGAAGTCACCATCACCACACACCTCCATGACAGGAAGTCACCATCACCACACACCTCCACATCACCACACGCCTCCATGACAGGAAGTCACCATCACCACACGCCTCCATGACAGGAAGTCACCATCACCACACACCTCCATGACAGGAAGTCACCATCACCACACACCTCCATGACAGGAAGTCACCACCACCACACAACTCTATGACAAGCAGTCACCATAACCGCCACCAACATCAATACCACCATGGCAGGAAATACCTCCACCACCGCCATCAGCTTCCTGGCCAGGAAAGCATAGCCAGTACTCAGTCCTCTCTGAGCCCTTAAGGAAACTTCTGGAATGTTCTGTGACTGTCAAAAATCCATGGGGCTGGATTTTGGAGGAGGACCCGAGAAAGGGTCGAGATGACCCAGAGCCCTCTCTACCCCTCAGGGGCTGCTGTTGGGTTTCCTGTCGGGGTCCCCAGAGCCAAAGCACCTCCCAGGGGATGGGGACTCCACGTCTCTCACGTGGTGGTGACTGCTAGGGCTCCCGCATGCTGCAAGACCCAAAGTCAAGGACAAAGACCAAGCTGGAAAACCCCTGGTTACAGCGACCCGTCTCTGCATCCCATCCCAGGACAGAGATGCTACCGTCCCGTTTCCTATAAACACAACCCTCCTGCTGTCCCCTGCACGGTCTCCCATGGGGCCCGTTGGCTCAGGCAGGAGCCTGCTGAGGACCCTTCCTCGGCTGCCTGGGTTGGAGAAAGTTGAACGACAGTCAGCATCGGAAACCGTGAGAGCTCTGCTGGAACGCACAGTGCCGTGTGCCCATCATCCAGGCCGCTGTCTTGCCCTGCCATGACCTTCCACACACGTGCATGGATGCACCATGGCCTCAAGTCACCCACACACACATGGGCCCACACACCCAGGACCTGGGTGCAGTCCTGCACCATTGTCTGCCTGGTACACACACACACACACACACACACAGGTGCACCTGCTCACCGTCTGCCACGTGCATCTTCATCCAGAGCTTCGCCACTTCCTCCTGCAGTTGCTTCAGCAAATCCGAGGCTGTGCGCTTCTCATTCAAGCCTGGGGTGGAAGTAGGGGTGGGGAGATAGAAGGCTTAGAGCTCAGATTCCACCCTGCAGTCCCACCCCACCACCACCACCCTCAAATCTGGCCCTTCCCCCCCAGCACCTTCCCAGCCTCACTCTGTGACTTGAAGTTGCTCAGATCCTCTTGAAGTCGGTCCAGGTTGTGGGAGAGCCTGGAGTCTGAGCGGACACAAGAGGATGAGGCTGGACTCTCGGGTGTGGGGGCTCCTCGGCGCACACCCCCCCTCCCACGGCTGGGGGACACCCCTTGCCCCTCCTTGCCCGGGGCGACCACCCCCTCACTCCCTTCTCCCATCTCTTCTCACTCTGAGGTGTTATATTCTTTTGCTCAGCTCGGAGCTCCTGCACCACTCGCAGCACGTCGGAGGCTGTTGATGGTGGGAGCAGGGGATGGGGTGGGGTCAGCGAGGAACAAGTCTTGGGGTCTTCAACCCCGTGTCCCACCTACCCTCCTCCCCCTAGGACCTTCCCAGCCTCACTCTGTGACTTGAAGTTGCTCAGATCCTCTTGAAGTCGGTCCAGGTTGTGGGAGAGCTTGGAGTCTGAGGGGACACAAGAGGATGAGGCTGGACTCTTGGGTGTGGGGGCTCCTCGGCGCACCCCCCCTCCCGTGGCTGGGGGACACTCCTGCCTCTCCTTGCCCACGGCGACCACCCCTTCACCCCTTTCTCTCATCTCTTCTCACCCTGAGGCGTTATATTCTGCTCAGCTCGGAGCCTCTGCATCACTCGCAGCACCTCGGAGGCTGTTGATGGAAGCAGGGGACGGGGTGGGGTCAGCGGTGAACAAGTCCTGGGGGCCCTCAACCCCGTGTCCCCCTCATCCACCCTTGGTCACTCGGGCTGGTTTCTCCAGGGCCACCCGCTCAGGTTCCAGTTCACGGAGTAACAGCAGGATGGGCAGGTGATTGGCTGATCTTAACTTTGGGTGCCCAGCCCCTCGCGCCCCATTCCCTGAGACTGTGATGGGGCGAGGAGAGGGGAAGGGGCCTCACCATCAGATCTCTGGGCCGCCCGTTCGCCCTGGTACCTTTGCAGATCCTTGGAAACCTGGGAGACTGAGATAGCAAGGCAGGGATAGCTTCTTGAGCATGCTTCCGGGCAGGTCCTTGAATCTGGCCTGGCCACAAACACAAGAGGACCACCCCCATCCCCCCCCCATCATCTAGCCTCAACAGCTGCAGCTCTCTGTATTTTTTGGGGGGGGCATGGGGAACCAGAAATACAGGGAGAGACAGGCCCAGAGGGTGTCTGGGGTGAATATACGGACCGCCCCCCATCCCCTTGCATCCAGAAGTGAACAGAAGTGCAACCCGCTGGTGGCTAAATTCATGCCCATGTCACAGTCGGGCACGTCATCCAATCAGAAGCCACTTCTCCAGGCCTGGGGAGGGGCAGTAACGCAGGACGATGCTCAGCTCCTTGGGGCTGGGTTGGGGGGCGGTGCACCAAGACATAGCAGGGGGCGGGGGCGTGTGGTCTTCTGACAGCGGGCAGAAGCTAAACAAGAACCAGGTACCTGAACTCTGCCTGCACCCCCAGCCCCCACATACCATTGCGGGTCACAGATTCTTCCAGCTGTTTTATACTCCTTAGAGTATCCCAGTCTAGGATGGAGGGGCAAGAAAAGGCATGGGGAATTTGTTGAGGGCCCCCACCCCGGCTGCCCCTCACCCCACCCTATCTTGTACCCAGGGCAAGGAAGAGGTGGAGGCTTTGGCTGGGGGAAGGGGAGGAGGCAGGGATGTTAGGCAGGGTGGTATGGGGTGGGGCTGGCATGGCTGCACTGACCAGGCGGGGACAGAGGGGACAGGAGGTGTTGCAGGAGGGACCCAGAGGGATTCGTGGGCTGGGCAGGGGGTTGTCCTCACGCCATAGAAGCAGCAGCGCCAGCAGCCCAGCCCACAGGGCGGTGGTGAGCAGGCCCACGAGCGCCAGCCGTGTGTCCCGGTTGCAGCATCGCTTTCTGGTATAGTCGGAGAATCCTGCAGGTGCTGGGTGGGGAGAGGACCACAGGAGAGTGAGGCAGTAAGACCACCTTGCCTCTCACTCGGCACCCACCTTGGCCCGCTCTGCCTCTCTCACCTTCATCCAGACAGCTCCATCTGTCACAGTCCATCCCCCCAACCTCGGCCCACTGTCTGTCCCTTTTTGAACTTCTACCACAGGCACGTTGCCATCCTGAAGACCAGAACCTGGGGCCCGGGGTTGTGGGCAGGGGGGTGCCGAGACCTGCTCTCCCCCACTGGTGCTGGGCCCCCAACCTGGATTAACCACTCCATGATGCCTACCTCCAGCCCCCGCGTTCCCTCCAGACCCCCCACCCCAGCCCCTGGAGTCCTGGTCTTTCCCTTTTACTTGAGCCATTGCCCTAATGGTCAGCATTGTCCCCGAGTCCCAGGCCTCACCACCCTACGGCAGTTAGGACCCGCAGAACTGTGCTGGGCCCCCTGCCCTCACCCTGACTTTGAGCATCCATCAGCCTCAATTGCACCAGCTGTGCGTCCCACTCCGCTGGGCCTTGGAATCCGGGGCTCCCAGTGCGCCAGCCAGCCAGAGCCCCTTTCTCGGTTTGGGCAGTGGTGAGTCAGAGGAAGGAGGGGCCCCTGGTTCCTCCTCCCACCTGGTGCTGGGCCAGGAAGACTGATAATTGGGGTGCCCCTCCCTAGCCCACACCCCCTGACCTTTCTCAAAAATTCACCCAACTTTCCATGGAAGGACTTGGGGAAACCCCCTCCAGTCCTAGGAGGAGAGCCTAGAGGTCAGGGACCTGGTCGGGGTCCAGGGGGCGCACCAGCGGGTCCACCTACCTGAGTATTGATGCTCCTCCATGGTTGTCCTATTTGGTTGCTCTTGAAAACAGAGAGCTCACTTCCTACCACGTCACGGCTCTGGTTGAGATCTGGGTTTTTAACAAGGTTGGTTAGGGTTACAAACGGGAGGGCTCAGGACGGCATCCGGGACCTATAAGGAGGGGACCTCGGAAAGCTGGCGGGCTGCTCGGAATTGCACAAGTGTTGGTCTGTATCCTCTATCGGAAGTCCTGGGTTCGAGTCTCAGCTCTGTCCGTTTCCTGTTGTATGGACGCCGCCCCCCCCCCCCCGGGAGGGCTCAGGTGGTTCAGTCCTTGCCACCCACACAAAGGACCTAATTGGAGTTCTGGGTGCATCGCTTGGGTCTGATCCAGCTTCAACTGGAGGTATGAGCTAACACATTGGGGAGTTCTCTTTCTCGCCCCCTTCCCTCCCCACCCCATTTTCTATGCGACTAGGGCTCTCGGCCTCAAATGAAAAAGTGGAGCTCAGGGTTGGCGTGATGGCTCAACAGGCTAACCCTTCAGCTGACAGCACTGGCATCTTACACGGGCACCTGCTTATGTCCCGGCTGCTCCGCTTCCCATCCAGCTCCCTGCTCGTGGCCTGGGAAAGCAGTCGAGGACGGCCCAAAGCCTTGGGGACCCTGCACCCGCGTGGGAGACCTGGAAGAGGCTCCTGGCTTCAGATCAGCTCAGCTCCGGCTGTTGTGGCAACCAGCTAGAGCTAGGTTCTTCCGGGTCTCGCATGCAGGTGCAGGGTCCCAAGGCTTTGGTCCGTCCTCCACTGCTTTCCCAGGCCACAGGCAGGGAGCTGAGTGGGAAGTGGGGCTGCCGGGTTTACAACCAGTGCCCATATAGGATCCTGGCGCATTCAAGGAGAGGACTTTAGCCGCTAAGCCACCATGCCAGGCCCAATCTTTTTGTTTGTTTGTTTAATTGAGCTTATTTTGGTGGGAAAAAAAAAAAAAACCCTTTGAGATCCATAGTCGTCTGTGTCACTTATAACAAGCATTTTCCGTCATCTTTCTGAAGATTCCTACCAGCCGTGGGCTTCTCCAGCCTTTGGCAGCAGGATGGCTTTAGCTCAGTGACAGTGGGTGACTGAACTAGCCATCCCTGAATGGGCAGACACCTGCCCGCTTTCCCCACGCTGCTCACTCCCCTGCCTGTGCAGCCCCCCAACACACACACACACACACCCCAAGGACACTGTCCACACGCATGCACTCACTTGGCTGTGCAGGTTGTCCGTGACTCCTGGGCCAGCTGGGGGAGGATCCTGAGTGGCTGTGGAGGCGTTGCAGGGCGACTGGAGCCGCTTCTGTCTGCACCCACTTATTTCTGGGTCACAGCACCACGCACGTCCGCTGGGGGAAATCCCCATTATAATTATCCACGGGTCTTGTGTGGGCAAACCCGGGAGGCCGCAGGTCCCCCGGGGGTGGTGAGCCATAGCCACCGCTGGCTTCAACCTGACCCGGGAGGCTAGGGAGGGCAAGAAGAGGTGAGAAAGAGAAGGAAGGCCACGGGAGCATATAGTCCAGTCCCGCCTTGCTGGCTTTATCCAGAAGCGCCATGCTTGGCTGGCACCTTCAGGACATCCTCCTATGAGACTTGGCACCTGCACCCTTGGAATACCCTAGTGCCACCCTAGGGGTGACAGCTCTGAGAGCCCACAGAGAGGGTCATCCGTTCACCTGAAGTCACACAGCTGCCCAGTGATGGAGCCGGGCCAGTGCAGGCCAACCCTAAAGCGTGTCTCCGAACGCCTCTGCATCCTTGGCTGGGGTAACATTCTCCTCTCAGGGTCATGACCCTGGAGGGACTGTCCGCTTGCACTGGAAGACATGGCCTGGGTCGTCCCCATGCAGGACCAAGTTCTTTTGATTTATTTATTTATTGGAAAGGCAGATCTACAGAGAGGAGGAGAGACAGAGAGGAAGATCTTCCATCCGATGATTCACTCCCCAAGTGAGTGCAACGGCCGATGCTATGCCAATCCGAAGCCAGGAGCCAGGAACCTCTTCCGGGTCTCCCACACACGGGTGCAGGGTCCCAAAGCTTTGGGCCGTCCTCCACTGCTTTCCCAGGCCACAGGCAGGGAGCTGGATGGGAAGTGGAGCAGCCGGGATTAGAACCAGCACCCATATGGGATCCTGGTGCGTTCAAGGCGAGGACTTTAGCTGCTAGGCCACGGCGCCAGGCCTAGGACCAAGTTCAAGGCTACAGCTGAACAGCTGTCCCCCCACCATGACAATGGAGCACTTTGGCGGTGCCACTGCACCATGGTAATCACCACACTGCACCATCCGCCGCTCTGGATCCACGGGACCCTGCGACGTGTCCGCTGGCTGAGTGATGCTTGCTCACCCTGATTCTCCCAGCGTCCCCCTCAAGTCTCGTTCCGGGCCAGTGAGGGTCCCCAGGCGTGCCTGGCAAAATGGCCAAGGTTGGAAGACGGGGTGGTCAGGTGAGTATTGGGAGAGGCCCCTAGGGGCCTGCTGAGGGGGATCAGCGGACAGAGGGAGGCCTCGTAGGGGTGGGACTGAGCGATGACGCTGCTCTGAGGACCAGAAGGAAAACCCTGGAAGGCAACAGGTAGGGCTTGGAGGGGAGGTGTCAACAGGGACCAAGCAGGTGCAGCCAGGGGCGTCCTGGCAGAGGGGAGCTGTCACCTGGCCGGGGTGGGAGGCTGGCCTGGGGACTGGTGAGAAGCAGGCTGGTGATGGAAGGACCCCCAACTCCTGAATACATCTCCCCAATACCCCATGGTCTCTCCAGAGCTGGGTCCCTGCTGAGACAAGACCATGTTCTGGGGGACCCCCGCCCCCACTGCTTTCTCCTCTGCCCACCACATCTCTAGTACATTTTTGGGGAAAAAAAAAAAAAACAGGAAACGGTGCGGATGTGGGCTTAGATCGGAAGGTGCCAGTTCTGCTTTTAGGAGGTCCCTAGGGCCGGGCTTCATTTGCCACCCATCCTGTGTCCTGAATTCATAAGAACAAGGTGGTGGTGGCCCCGTAAGATCCCCAGCTTCACCCCAGGCCCCCCGCCCCGTGAGGCTCCAGGCCTCAGCCACCCCAGGGTCCCACACTAAGCACAGCACCTCAACACCCAGGGCAGTGTCGCGACCTCCCTTCTCTCTCTCCCTCCGCACCCCAGAGCCCACCCCCAACCACCTCCCCGCCCAGGGCTGGGGGCTTACCCTGCGTCTGTGACTTCCTGGGTTCTGCTTATATGGAGAGGGGTGGGGGAAGGAGTAGCTGGCTTGTCAAACCCAGGAGGGCTTCCAGGAAGAGGAGGCCGATTTATGTATTCAGTTTTGAACAGGTCTACAGGTATCTTTTTTTAAAAAAATTATTTCATTTGACAATCTTTACATAGTTGATTAGGGCACAGCGGGTCAGGGGCTACAGGAAAGTGAGTAAGACCATTGTTTCCACATTATTGGGTTTTTCTTCCCCCCTGTATCTGGGGTAAAGAGGGAAATAAAGGAAGAAGCTCCCCCACCCAGCCTCCCACCCATCCCAGGTCCTCGACGTGGGGCACGCTCCGAGGGTCCTGCTCGAGTGGTTTTGATAGTTCAACAGTTCTGAATTGCTGCCAGCCTCGCCATTCCAAGCACTGGTTGACATAGTCCACCTTAGAGTCCCTGTTCGCCCAGATTTTCACTGCCAACACATGGCTGGGTAGTTGATTGATTTGTTCTGTCCTCTGTCGTGGTGCCAGGTGCCCTCTGCAGGTTCCGATGGGCTGCCCTATCCTCCATGAGCACCTGGGTGTTCTGTCCACTGCTCCGTCTGAGCCTCTGAGGAGGCTCGGCTCTGGTACTTGCACTCCGTGGTCAGACCATGGAACCTGCACTTCTCTGCATGGTTGGGGTTCTGAGTCTGGCAGTTCAGTTGGAGGGATCCCCAAAGAAACTTCATCTGAGGTGATCCCAGACCAGATTCTTGTGTGTGCATGCCAGCACAGGGTCTGGCACAGTCCCTCGCCCCGATCAGCTGGTGGTTGCAAGTGCTGGGTCAGTTCTGTTTGCAGCCCTGTCTTACACATGAACCCAATGGGTGGGGCCCGGCGGCGTGGCCTAAGGCTAAAGTCCTCACCATTGAACACTCCGGGATCCCATGTGGGCGCCGGTTCGAATCCCGGCAGCTCCGCTTCCCATCCAGCTCCCTGCCTGTGGCCTGGGAAAGCAGTGGAGGACGGCCCAAAGCCTTGGGACCTGCACCCGCGTGGGAGACCCAGAAAGAAGCTCCTGGCTCCTGGCTTTGGATCGGTATAGCATCGGCCGTTGCAGTCACTTGGGGAGTGAATCATCGGATGGAAGATCTTCCTCTCTGTCTCTCCTCCTCTCTGTATATCTGGCTTTGTAATAAAAATAAATCTTAAAAAAAAAAAAAGAACCAATAGGTATTGCAGTCCAGCCTGATTCTGCTCAGCATACACTCGAGGCCTGCCTATTTATTTATTTATTTATTTATTTATGTTCCTTCAATGGATACATGGTAGTTGCGTGTGCCAGGTTCAGTGGGCAACTTTAAGTATATGGGGCCAGTGCGATAGTTCGACTGGCTAATACACCACCTTGCACCACTGGCATCCCATAGGGGCATGGCATCGTGTCCCTGGCTGCTCTGCTTCCCATCCAGCTCCCTGCCTGTGGCCTGGGAAAGCAGTCGAAGACAGTACAAAACCGTGGGATCCTGCACCCGCGTGGGAGACCCAGAAGAAGCTCCTGGCTCCTGGCTTTGGATGGGCGCAGCTCCAGCTCTTTGTGGCCACTTGGGGAGTGAAGCAGCAGATGGAAGATCTTTCTCTCTGGAAATCTCTATTCCAAATAGAAATAACTAGAAGAAGAAGCAGCTGAAATCTATCACTGGGCTTCTCCACGCACATGGCATGCCCACACTGCGCGCTAGAGGGCATGGCGTCCGAAGCCCTGGGAGCCAGCAGGTGGTGGGCCAAACGCTTGTGTCCCTATCACCTATAAGGGAGACCCAGATGGAGCTCCTGGCTCCTGGCTGTGCCTGGCCCAGCCCTGCCTGTTGTGGACATTTTGGGGAATGAACCAGTGAATGGAAGATCTCTCGCTTGCTGGCTCTGCTTTTCGAAGAAAATCAAAATTGAAAAGGCATGGTACAGCTGCAGAGAGGGAAGGAGCCCATCCGGTTGGCTGGGGTTACAAAGACACGCAAGGAGGAAGGCATTACGGCCACCGTGTGCACGGAGCATGCCCAGGCCTGTGCCACCCTCAGCATCCCCCATCCATTGGCATCCTGGTACCCCCCCCCACTCCGACTCCACTTCCCATCTGCCCAGGTCGGTGGGGAGGCGGGCTCCTGGGGGCTCCAGAGGGCCCTTCTAAGCTGTGTCCCACTGTGTGTGTGTGTGTGCGTGTGTGTCCATTGCCCAGCTCCCGGCTCTGCGTGTGAAGACACACGTAGAAGCACGGGATGGCAGGAGAAGATGGCAGGGCATATTGAGTTCAAATCAAGGGGTCCCCACCCCACCCTGCACGGACAAATCCATGCATCTCCCCTCTGCAGACTTGAGCCTGCTGGCTCAGCCAGCCCCGTCCCCTTGGGCACCCCCCGCTGTCCCCACCGAGCCAGGCCCGGGCCGCTGCCTCTGCAGCTCAGTGTCCAGGAGGGCTCCTTGGTCTCCATCCCTCATGGGACCTCCACGCTGGCGGAAGTGGAAATTCTACAGAAGCAGGTGGGGCCCAGTGATCCAGTGAGGTGAGCAAGTGGGGTGACACGCACCATCACCCATGATGGGGCTACACACACACACACACACACACGACAGGCACCCAGCCATGCCAACACTACCTGGGGCAATACAGGTAGTGACACGGCACAGGCCACACACAGACACACAACCACAGCTGGAAGAAGTTCCTGGCTTTGGATCGGCATAGCATCTGCCGTTGCGCTCACTTGGGGAGTGAATCATCGGACGGAAGATCTTCCTCTCTGTCTCTCCTCCTCTCTGTATATCTGGCTTTGTAATAAAAATAAACAAATCTTTTTTTGCTATGCCAGTCTGAAGCCAGGATCTAGGAGCTTCTTCCAGGTCTCCCACACAGGTGCAGGGTCCCAAGGCTTTGGGCCGTCCTCCACTGCTTTCCCAGGCCACAGGCAGGGAGCTGGATGGGAAGTGGGGCTGCCGGGATTAGAACCGGCGCCCATATGGGATCCCAGTGTGTTCAAGGCGAGGACTTTAGCTGCTAAGCCACGCCATTGGGCCCAAATACATCTTTTATTTTTTATATATTTTTTTAAGCTGTAGAAAGGCCCTTAACTAATACCCGTTGC